CGCTGGTCATATCATAGTTTTGGCCATTGAGAGACCGGTTAATATGCCTTCGAGGAAATGAGTTTTTCTCTTTCAGTCTATTTAAGATTTAACAACATTAATAAATATAAAAATATAGAAGAACTAGCTTGGGAAACCAGCTTTACCTGGAACCTAAACGTTCTCTATAAAAGTCAACCCACTCAACTTAGAATTGTTAAACTAAACCGTGGAGTTCCTGAATTAAAATTTGAGACAAATTTGTTCTAGGTTTTATTAGTTATTATCAGACATTAAAACAAACAGACAGATATTTAAGCAGAGATTACTAATTATAATGTAGTAAATAATCTCTGATAGTTTGTCTGTTTTGTCTGATCATAACTCAAGAACCCCTGGACCGATTTGCCTCAAATTTTAATTAGGGAACTCCATAAAACCACGGTTTAGTTTAACAATTCTAAATTGAGTGGGTTGACTTTTATAGAGAACGTTTAGGTTCCAGGTAAAGCTGGATTCCCAAGCTAGTACTTCTATATTTTTATATTTCTTAATATGACCATTTCCGCGCTAAGAACATACTGAATATTGATTTTTTGTTATATCATGAACTTTTTCATTAAAGGAACAAAAAGATTTAGACACCCTTTAGTTTTAACAAATAGAATTTAGATACCCTTTAGGTTTAACAAATAGGATTTAGACACCCTTTAGGTTTAACAAATAGGATTTAGACACCCTTTAGGTTTAACAAATAGGATTTAGACACCCTTTAGGTTTAACAAATAGGATTTGTTTGTTTGCAAGAAAAACTTGTTATCGTGTTAAAAGGCGGCGTAGTTAGAAGATGCATGTTCTTGTATTTGCTAGCGGACCTAATGTTAGGACCTGGAGAAAAATATCCCAGATGACGAATGACAAGTTTTTTTTTGTCCCTAAGGCCTGTGTTGCGAGAACAGATTTAAATGACAGATGAATTATTTTCAGAACTTAAAATATTTTTGATTTAAGAAGTGTAAAGAAGCATAGAACAGTCGACAAAGATAAGATTGACAAGTAACGCGGTGCAGAGATAAAAAGTTTTAGGAACTTGAAAAATTCAAAACTGACAATAATTTCAGATATGGCGCTCAAAAAAAAATAAGATCATAAAAAAATATTTTTATTTTCAGATTTGTATCAGGGGACAACCAGTTCCATTTAAAGCGTATATTCCCAAAGAAGAGGTTATTAAGTACAGGAAAGACCAGAAAGCTGGAGGTCGTCTTATTTACAAGGTAAAGATTTTATTTTCAACAGTTAAAGAGGGATTTAGGTTATTCCAATGTATATTTTGTTAGTCTGAATTAATACATTTCAACTTTTTTAAGTTTTGTTGGTACATTTTTTACCCTGGCTCAAACAAAGTTAATTTTAAAGAGTTTGCAAATTTTGTAGAAAACTGAACTGTTCACGCATTGTTTAGACAGCTCATGTGTAGAACGTGATTCATTGATTGAAGTTTAGGAATGCGATTTCCGTTGTGGCATTTCCCGTAATTCTTGAAATACTTCTACAGAGAGAAATACATATTTGGGTCTTTGGAGAGTTTGTAGCTGGATTATTCTAAAAAAAAAATGATATTAAATCAAGAATTATTTCATATAATGATTTTATTACTTTAATTTTTCCTCATCAATTGTAAAAGTTTACAAATCTGGAAAGTTTTCGCTGGAGGAATTGTTTATTAACTTTTATTTAGGGTTGCAAGCTGAATAACAGGAGTATGCATAATTTCCGACCAACCCTAGGTAAATTCCTATATTTCTAACCAACCCTAGGTAAATTCCTATATTTAGAACAAACCCTAGGTAAATTCCTATATTTCTAACCAACTCTAGGTAAATTCCTATATTTCTTATCAATCCTGGGTAAATTCTTATATTTCTAACCAACCCTAGGTAAATTCCTATATTTCTAACCAACCCTAGGTAAATTCCTATATTTCTAACCAACTATAGGTAAATTCCTATATTTCTTATCAATCCTGGGTAAATTCTTATATTTCTAACCAACCCTAGGTAAATTCCTATATTTCTAACCAACTCTAGGTAAATTCCTATATTTCTAACCAACCCTAGGTAAATTCCTATATTTCTAACCAACCATAGGTAAATTCCTATATTTCTAACCAATCCTAGGTAAATTCCTATATTTCTAACCAGCCCTAGGTAAATTCCTATATTTCTAACCAATCCTAGGTAAGTTCCTATATTTCTAACCAACCCTAGGTAAATTCCTATATTTCTAACCAACCCTAGGTAATTTCTTATATTTCTAACCAATCCTAGGTAAATTCCTATATGTCTAACCAACCCTAGGTAATTTCCTATATTTCTAACCAACCCAAGGTAAATTCCTATATTTCTAACCAACTCTAGGTAAATTCCTATATTTCTAACCAACCCTAAGTAATTTCTTATATTTCTAACCAACCCTTGGTAAATTCCTATATTTCTAGCCAACCCTAGGTAATTTATTATATTTCTAATCAATTCTAGGTAAATTCCTATATGTCTAACCAACCCTAGGTAATTTCTTATATTTCTAATCAACCCTAGGTAATTTCCTATATTTCTAACCAACCTTAGGTAAATTCCTATATTTCTAACCAACCCTAGGTAAATTCCTATATTTCTAACCAATCTTAGGTAAACTCCTATATTTCTAACCAACCCTAGGTAAATTCCTATATTTAGAACAAACCCTAGGTAAATTCCTGTATTTCGAACCAACCCTAGGTAAATTCCTATATTTCTAACCAACCCTAGGTAAATTCCTATATTTCCAACCACCCTAGGTCAATTCCTATATTTAGAACAAACCCTAGGTAAATTCCTGTATTTCGAACCAACCCTAGGTAAATTCCTGTATTTCTAACCATCCCAAGGTAAATTCCTATATTTCTAACCAACTCTAGGTAGATTCCTATATTTCTAACCAACCCAAGGTAAATTACTATATTTCTGACCAACCCTAGGTAAATTCCTATATTTCTAACCATCCCTAGGTAAATTCCTATATTTCTAACCAACCCTAGGTAAATTCCTATATTTCTAACCTAACCTGCAGGTATTCAATGACTATGAACCCCCCAGATTTGATCAAAATGAATCTTAATATATTTCACAAATATATTTTAGACTTAAGATCTACGAATTGTAAACAAGTCGGACCGATCCCTAATCTCTATAATAGTTTCTAGACGGAACTGTTTACTTGTAATTTAAGGGGGGAACTGCTCGTTAGTTTACTAAATTAAGACATGTTGCTATCCCTGTACGGAATAAAAAGAGGATTTGGAATTTAAACAATTATCTTTTTCTCCGGGAACAATAGATTAAAGTTTAAACCCTTAAACAATGTTTGTGTGACAGAATGAACAAAAGAAACTTTGCTTTTCAGGTCACTTCGTTCAAACATATGATGTCTGTTATGCAACAAAAGTAGCTTAAATCCTACTTTAATCCAACTCCAATGCTACTCCAATCTTACATCAATCCTACTCCAACCTTACTCCAATCTTAATCCAATCCTACTTCAATCCTACTCTAATCCTACTCCAACCTTACTCCAATCTTACTCCAATCCTACTCCAACCTTACTCCAATCTTAATCCAATCCTACTTCAATCCTACTCTAATCCTACTCCAACCTTACTCCAATCTTACTCCAATCCTACTCCAAACTTACTCTAACCTTACTCCAACTCTATCTTACTCCTACTCCAATCCTATCTTCTCTCCCTTTGAACCTGGAGCTCTATCAAGTGTTCTCAACTCCAGATGTAAATTAAATCATATTATTGTCATGAAATCACGTGGATAATATATTCTAAACCTGTTTTTGTTTGTAAACAAGTATATTTATGATTGTATCTCAAGATTATTCTAAAGAAAATGAAATATATCCTGTAAATAATTTATTATGTGCCAATAAATATAAAAGAGAGAAAATAAAATAAATTCTACATCTAAACCTTAGTTAGCATCCTTCCTACCCTCAGTTTTCAGTAAAATTGGTGATATATGAATTAACTTATTCTTTAAGTAGACTATACTATAAGTAGANTAGACTATTCTTTAAGTATTCTATTCTTTAAGTAGACTATTCTTTAAGTATTCTATTCTTTAAGTAGACTATTCTTTAAGTAGACTATTCTTTAAGTAGACTATTCTTCAGACTTCAAGAGATTAGGATTAGTGCTTTCAGAAGTAATCAACAAAACAATAATTCCGTCCTCTGCATCAATTTCTTTTTTGAGAGTTTATTAAAGTTTTGGTTTACAAAACTACAAAACTACAGAAAACGGTTAAAAACAAAAAAAATGAAATGAATAACAAAAATGCATTCAACAATTAATCTTTTTAACATTGTCTTTTATACACACCAAGAATATTAGGGAATTTTGAAAGATCTCATTGTCCCTTAAATTACCCCACTAACTTATTTACTTTTTAACAACTATAAAGCACTTGTTTTTAGCCTTTATTAATTAAGAAGTAATCGACAAAATTCTCATCAAATTTGAGGTGAGAGCTTGCAACCTATAAAGAGATGTGAATTAAACAAATTATTTGCATTCTTCCCAGAAACGGCAGAACAAGTTCACCTTTATACTTTCTTGATTAATTAACATTTAAAAAAAAAATTCTAGACTGTTTGGTTCGATTTTATTATTTTTATAAAATAGTCTTTTCTACAAACAAATAATGGAACAACCATAGTTTTGACTTCTAATCCAGTAATTAGGTAGATTCGTATAAAAAAGGTTGAAGGATTAAAAAGTAGGGATTATAAAGGATAAAGAATGAATGAATATAAAGGCTTGAGGATTATAAATGATAAAAGATTATACAAACGAATGATAAAGGTTTACAAAGGATAACAGATTATGAAAAATAAAGGATAAAAGATTATGAAAAATAAAGGATAAAAGATTGTAAAAACAATAAGGTTAAAAAATGAATGAATAATGTATTGAATATATATATATATATATGAATATATTGAATAGGATGAAAGTTAATTATACTGGGGATTATAAAGAATGAAGGATTATAAGGGATGAAGGATTATAAAGGATAAAGGATTATAAAGAATGAAGGATTATAAAGGATTAGAATGTGAAAAGTTTAGTGTGTGGGGACATGTATGGGATTATAAAGGATGTAGGATTATAAAGGATTAGAATGAGAAAAGTTTAGTGTGTGGGACATGTATGGGATTATAAAGGATGTAGGATTATAAAGAATGAAGGATTATAAAGGATTAGAATGAGAAAAGTTTAGTGTGTGGGGACATGTATAGAATACCGAATGTTGCAAAGATAGTTCCTACAGTAAAGACAAGAAGCAGAAACCTGAAATTAGAAACACGTCAAATTCCTATATTCGGATTTCCAAAATTCACTAAATTTACAAAATTTACAAAATTTACAATTCCAAGAAATTGAGTGTGCATTTCAGTTCAACCAATCAGAAGCGAATGTGTGCAGGTAAGCAAAGTAAAAGAACCAGACAGAGAACAGGTGTGACGTTAACAAGCGTATAGTATTATTATTGCGCCAGGGTAGTGTAGTACAAATTAGACACTTTTCCCACAACATTAAATCATGAAAGAATACATAATTAAACGCCTGCTAAACGTAAACTATGTTGTTAAATAAGTTTTTAATGGGTAACAATTCTAGAAAAATGTGCAAAACAAAATTGCATCTCGAATGTCGTCTTCATTTTTAAGAATTTAAAATATTGATATGTTAACACTTATCAGGCCCTTTCAAATGTAAAAATTGTGTAATAATTATTCGTAATACATAAATTTTATGTTTCAAGACCGAAATTCCATCACTCAGTCATTTTTTAACATGGCACTGGGTCAAGGAAAATCTGAAACTAAGGAAGAGCTTAACAATTTAAGTCCTAGCTCTGTAAATTTCTTTTTCTCATTCAATGTGGACTTTGTAATCCTACCTGTCAATTACTAAAGCACAGTGTTGCCATTCTATTCTGATTCTATCCTTCATTTCGTCCTGTTTTCTCCGAGTCTCATGGTTAACTAGGCTTGCGTGAATACGATTCATCAGTAAGATCAGAACCCCTGGTATCTTCTCCGAACCACTAAACCACAAAATATAAAAAAAAATTCAATTTTGTAAATTATAAATAACCTTTCCACAGAGCAGGCTTCAGAGAGAGCTTTGAAAATGAGTTCTTCTTCAGACCGGAGTGAGTTTTCCTTCTCTAGACTTGAACCTTGCTGAATTAGATTAAACAATTAGTTTACCAATTTTCCTCTTTATTGACAAGACATGAACAATGTTCACATTACCTGCTTTCCAGTTGATGTGTCATCATCAAGCTGAATAAGAAGAAATCTGGCCAAGATATTGAAGACGATGTACCGCAACACTCGCGGAACTCTGAAAGTTGTGCGGCATTGTTGAGTTTTGTACTTGCGCTAAAGTGTTTAAAAGATATTGTTACCTTCTTCCCCTAAGTCCTCGATGGTGTAGATTAAGTGTGACGACAGATAGTCCAGTTGCAAAGGAAACAAGGGATATGGTAACACCGTAGTAAAGTCCTAGAGTTTTAAATTCCATTAAATCATTCACAGTTCAATTTTCTTGTAGTATGTTACATGGTCGGATTTAGTAAAAAACAAGAAGTAGTTGAACCATGTTGAACTAAGTTTCAATTGCAATATTCCCAAAAGTTTAAGTTTCCGCACATAGTTCAGCTATTTCTTTCTATTCATCGATTCCATTCTCTGGAGATTTAGCAAAGTATTAGCAAACTTTTATTTGGTGCAAGCTTTTGTATTTTACAAATCTTCACCATTGCAAAAATAGTTAAAACCAAAAAAAACTTAAATGTGAAAAAGACAATAGAAGGTATTATATGGAATAACTACTTTGATTGTATGAATTATTGTGTAGTTATAAAAAATAATAGCTATGTAAAAGATAAGTTTACATAATTTATCATTTTTTCTTCAAATATTCCCTGTTTATTAATCTGAAGTTGGATAAAGAATGAATTTACTTTATGTTTTCCATGAGCTGAGCTCTCACAGTTCTTTCACTGCTAATATTGATATTTATGATAAAAAGTTTAGAATATATTTTAGCCCCCGACTCCTAACTTCAGAGCAAATCCAGCGCTGATAAACATAAAAGTAAAACGACGACATTTGTTGTTTAATAAATAAAAAAGTTAGTTTGAAAACATGTCAAACTAAAGTTACTTGAACGTGAGTTTGAAATCTGAAATGTTTTTAATCAGAACTCCTTTTATTAAAGAGCTATTGAGAAGAACAAAAAATTAGAATTTTTAATACATGGTTACCTAAAAAGAATGAGATTTCAGAGACGATTGTACTAAATTTATATTATCTGTTTCCTTATATTCATGATCCCCTGCAACTGTAAACTTGTTTTTTTTCTTTGCCAAATTATCTATTATCTATCTCTGATACTTATTCTAACCTTGGGAAATTTTAAGAGTTTTCGGTCGTCTTTACAATTTCATCCTTTGTGGGTAACCCTATATGTGGATGTTACTGGATAAATTTGCTTCTCTTATACTTTTACAGGTGATTATAAGGTATTTTTTCTTGGAGAAAAATCTTTTAAAATCTCACAATCTCAATCATATTTAGTTTAGTTTTAAAATGCTTTACAATTTGTAATATTTTTTTTATCAATTTTGAATTTACAAATGGAGAGCCCACATATGTGAAACTCTTTTAAATTCGAATTAATGCCGTGTATAGACATCTGGATTTATTGGGATTTTCATTTGCATTTCTCCTCATAATAATCAACCATGCGAACTGGGAATATATCCTGGAAGAAACATTAAAAAAGACTGATGTATATAAAATATAGAATTGTTTTCTCACAAAGGAATTGAGTTTTTTCCGACAAACTATGATTTTCTAATCCCTCTATTTTAGCAACCCAATGTCGTAACCTTAGATATTTCTAACTATGAATTTTATTTAATCAAGTAATCTAAGTTTAAAATATTAAAAGACCTTAAGGTTGAATATTTTAGTTTAAGGAAAAGGCTTAATTTCTTTGTTTTACGAATTTTTTTTGCCAATCCTTAAAAATTCTTAATACCTTCTGCACAATTGTTAATTTTCCTGACAAAGAGAAAAGTATAAAAAAAGCAAATTTCAACCTGTAAAAACTTTAGAATCTAAAGAAACTTTGATACACTCCTAAAACCTTGATATTTTTGTGTCGGAGACTGGAGGCATACATATTTATTATGGAGGTATATATTTTCTAAACCTACCTATGAGTGGTAACTTATCAGAGGTCGGAGGCATACTTTCTCCGATAACCATAAGAAATACAGTCATAGAGAGGAGCGTAGTAATTCCCAGGGTTACCTGGAAAATTATTGAGTGTTGATTTTAGTTAGGTAATTCAGTTTTATAAATTTTATCATGTTGTCGGAGGAGCCATAGTCAATTAATCTATTAGAGTTTGCATAAGTGACTTAAGATTTGATTTTCATTTATTAAATTTGAGGTGCTCCATTGAGAACATGGATTAAATTGAGGGAGGGGGTTGAATTGAGGGAGGGGTTGAATAGAGAGAGGGAATTGAATTGAAGGAGGGGGGTTGTAGAAATGAATTTTGAACGGAGAAAGGTTAGATTTTATAAGTGTGTGCCTCCGAATGTGGCACCCTTTATCAGTTAATGAACAGTTTAGTTAATGTTTTTTGTTTTAATCTCTCTCAAGGTTAAAGTGAACCTCCATTAAAAAGAAAAAAATGGCTCACAACTCACAATGGTATCCTCTAAACCTATGATCAATAATTTTAATGAAAATGTTATTTTTCTAGCTTTAAGTCTTTAATTCTAATTATTCCTACATAGTTTTTCTACTATAGAAATACACAAGTCAGTTTAGTAGAGAAGCCACAATAATAGAAACAAGTAATAATTGAATTTCACTTCTCAATGTTTTTAATCCATTTCATCGTCACATCCAATCTTCTTGATTACAATTTCTAATTTAAAAGAACTCCTAAACTTCATAGGAAAAAGATTTTAAAATCTTTATCAAAAATATCTTTTTTTTACAAGTAATAATAGGTTTACTATATATACTTAGGATTATAATAAAATAGTATGTATATCTAACATAATATTTTGGATACGCTCAGATTTAAACAACGTTTATTTTTACTTTATCAATTTAAGAAATCAAAAATATGTCTATTCATGGTGACGTGGCAGATCTGTGTTCTTCTTGCCGCGTCTCTCTATCCGGCTTAGACTTGGATCGTCTTCCGCCACATTACTCCCCCCAAGAAGGAACGTTGGAGTTAAGGCGGAGCAGGAACTTATTCCCCTAGCCTGTCTGTGAGGGTTTCTTCTCAGCATAACTGTAGGTTGGTTGAGGAAAGTCACAGATTTCTTCTTGGAGGCGGAAGAGTTCACGGCGGAGGATGGCTCAGGAGGATGTCTTGCTGGACGAAGAGGAGGACGTCCTCGAGGCGGAGGATTAGCTGGAACCACAGGGGAGTCCAAAAACACTGGCTTAAGACGATCAATTGAGACAGAATTCACCTTGTTACCAATCTGGAGGCGGAAGAACTTGTTCCGCCGCTCTAAAACCAAGTAAGGGCCATGGTATAAAGGGGCAAGAGAAGGTTTACTGGCGTCTTCTCTTACAAACACGAACCTAGCAGTTGTAAGAGAGGCTGGAACTTGCTGAGGAACTGAGAACTTGGAATTTCTGGACCATCCAAAAACTCTCCTGAAATTGTTAAGGCGGAGCCATAGACTGCCTCAGAAACAGAGAATCCTGTGTCTTCTTTTGGAATGGAGCAGAGTCCAAGCAAAACCAGAGGCAGGTGTGAGACCCAGTCGAAGTTAGCAGCTTTTGCTCGGAGAGAAGACTTCAGAGGTCGATGGAAACATTCAATCATACCATTCATACCACTTCTGGAACTAGAGGTCTGAGACATAGGCCAAGAGTCTCTGCTGTCTAGCTGTCCAGGGCGAAGAACTCCTGAACAAGGCAGAGGTTAGAGGTTTGTGATCAGTAAATAGCAAAAATTCTCTACCTTCTAGCATGAAGCGGAAGTGTCTGATGGAGAGATAGGCCGCCAGGAGTTCTCTGTCGAAGGCGGAGTACTTTTTCTCTGCGTTTCCTGGAGAAAAAGGCTAGAGGACACCAGGCTTCATCAATCCTCTGTTGGAGTACAGCACCCACGTGTGAATCAGAGGCGCCTACTGCGAGAGAAATTGGAGCTGAAGGACGAGGATGGATTAACTCTGGAACTCTGATGAGGAGATCCTTTGCATGACGGAAGGCAGCCTCAAGGTCAGGAGTCCAGGTGAGAGATTTGCCAGGACCCTTCAGAGCGCCGGTGAGCTGAGCTAGTACTCTTGTAGCCCCCCGGAGAAATTTCCTGTAAAAATTGATCATACCAAGGAACCTCTGTAGAGCAGGCTTGTCTGACGGAGCAGGGAACTCGGAGATTGCTGCAGTGTGCTTGACCAGGGGAGAGCAACCACTTGCAGAGAGAACATGACCCGAAAATTCAATCCTAGGAACGGCGAACTCACACTTGGGCAGGCCAATCATCAGCCCGTGCTGTCGACAGAGAAGGAGGACTTGACGAAGGTGATCCACGTGCTGCTCCAGGCTGGTACTGAACACTAGAATGTCGTCCACGTACATGAAACAGTAAGGCAGGTCACTGAGGATGGAATCCATCATCCTCTGAAAAGTATTACCTGTGTTCCTGAGGCCAAAGGGCAGACGTAAGAACTCCAACATTTCGAAAGGAGTGATGATAGCAGTCTGGCAAATATCACCTTCATCCATGGGAACCTGGTAGTAGCCCTTCTGCAGGTCGAGCTTCGAGAAAACTGTTGAACCGGCAACTCTTGACGTGAAATCTGCAATGTTGGGTAACGGATATGGATCAGGAACTGTAACAGTATTTAAACGTCTGTAATCTCCGCAGGGACGCCAACCTCCATCCTTCTTCTTTACCATGTGAGAAGGAGACGACCAAGGAGAGTTAGATTGTAGATGAGACAATAATCTGGCTGGACTTATAATAAGAGGAGTCTATAACTTTTGCTGCTCGCAATAGACCTCTAAGTTGAGCGATTTCTAAAATTGGCAAAGATAAAGGTTCAGTG